TGTACAGCAGTTTCAAAAGGGAAAAAAAGAGTTGGCTGCCTTTCCAGGGGAATTGTGAATAAAATATGGAACACTGCATATGAGGACATAAACCCAGATCTTCAAAGGAGTTTAGACACTGTGAGGAATATTTGAAATATTTTGTGTGGATATGGGCTTTAAACTCCATCAGCAGGCAGGGGAGATGGAGAGCAAATGGCATCATTTCTACATGAATGATGATGTTTTAAATAATAAATATGCAGTAAATATCTGTACATGGATTAGGATTTTGTTTTCTGAGGCTYTTTTTCTCCTGCTGTCTCTGAGGAACACAGTGGCCTGCTGGCATCCTGCTCCAGGAATCTCATTGACCTCAGGAGATAGAATTTCATTTCACAAATCCCCAGTTTGGAGGCTGGGCCAGGAGCAACCAGCAACAGCTTCATTTTCCTTCACCCTGCAACCTTGTCCATAAAGCCAGATAAAAATATTCCTTCTTTAATAATGACAGATAAAAATATTCCTTCTTTAATAATGACAGTGCAGAACCACAACAACTGTGAGCCTTGGAAATGTTTAAGATGCCCAACTCAGACTATTCATAAATATTTCCCCACTGCAGCCTCACCTTCCTGAATATCTGTTCTTTGTCCTCTGTTTGTGAGTGATTCCTATCCAGCTTTATTTTGTTTTAATGTGGTTCAGCAAGGTGTAATCCCTTTCTTTTGTCCAGATTGGAGCTGGAACATGGAATGTTGGATCAGAGGCCAGCTGGACCTGTTAGTTTGTCACCTGCAGCTCTTGAAGCCATACCTGAGAGATGACCTGAAGGTTAATCTTTTATACTCTGGGTAAGTCCAGGCTCTGGTAAATTTGTCTGCAAATCTGAAAGTATTTCCTGAAACATCAACATTCCAACTCCCAGCATGGTGGGAGCTTCAACTTTAAATTTTGTACCTTTGTGCTGTCTAAAAGGGATCCTRGATAATATGGAAAGTTTGTGACCCTTTGAATGAGAAATGGATGGAATGGAGAGTCCCCCAGAGCTCTCTGTCCTTCCCATCTTTCTTAAAATGTTTTAATGAAAGCACTGACTTCTTGAAGTATCTTTCTTGTTAGGATTTGTTAATTTAGAAATCTTGGTTCTGCCTTTTGTTTGCTTTTGACTGTAATATTTTCTCTCTCTAATTAATTGTGGTACTTTAATGTAACACAATACTCCTCTCATCCATTGTCACTAAAGATTCCCTGGAATTCTGATGGATGGAATCCTCCTGCCTGTTGGGTGGGCAGGTCTTGCATACATTGGTTATGAAAAATCTGTTTGACTGCATGAAACCACCCTGGGTTTTTTTTTTTCTGAATTGATTTCTGATTTTCTGATAGATTTGAAGTAATGTCACAAACACCCAGACTTCATTTCCTCAGGAAACAGGATAAACTGCAATAGTTGAATTAACTGAATTTATAAGGAAGAATTTCTTAAACAGACAGATATAATTGGGCACAAATCATCATCAGAGTGGAAAGCAAATGTGTAATCTAGGAATAAACGTGGTTGTGTAGCTGATGCAATATTTGAATCCCATTTGGATGAAATGGTCCCCATTCCCAGTGTTCCTCATAACTCTGACTCCTGGAACACCATTCCATGGTTTTTGGTGGGTGAAGCACATTTGCCTTTGCCCCTGCTCCATCCAGGCTCAGCTGCAATGGCWTTTCCAGTGATCCCAGTGCAGTAATCTCTACAGTGACATGTTTTGGGATGCCACCAGGGCTCAGCTGGGATGAAGAGGTTCTTTGTGTTAGGAAGGGAATTCAGTGAGGGCCATGAAATTTGGCTATGAAATTTGGCTCTGTTTGRTTGCTCCTTGCTGCAAAGATGAGATCCAAACTGGTTTCCCTCCCTATATCCCATGKTAATATTTTCCTTTTAGGGTCCCTGCGTTCTGGGGGAACAGCAAGCACAAGCATTTCAGGATTTGGGAAGGTGACAGCTTTCCCTGTTGGCTCTCTGGTACCTTAACATTTTATTCACCAGCCAAAATACCTTGAAAACATTCCCAGTTTTAAAAATATGCATTCCTGGCATGTGTTTCTCCCTGGGAGTCTGGAGATCCAGCCAGGATTCTCACACACAGAGCAATGCACAAAAATAATGACACAGAGGAATCTACAGCAGAAAAACCTGGGTCYATCACAGCTTTTTGCTTTTTCATCATTAGAGATGAACCTTCTTGTTTAAYACATCCTCAGATTTCCTGTTGGAAATGATGCCAGGAATAGGAATGTTCTGTTCTGCCAATGCAGGGCTGTGTGAGAGGCTCAGGTAAGGGAGATGATGGGGCTTTGGGGGAGAAAAGGTTATTCCAAAGCTTAATTAGACAGCTAGGTTAATTGTCTAGCAAATGTCTTTGCAGCTGTKTGATTCCAGGAATGCTGCAAAGCCCAAGGTTAATTCCAGGAGCTGGAATCCCTCAGCCTTGGGGATCTCTCTGGAGAGTGCTCCCAGTTTAATTCTAAGCCCTGATTATCATTTGCCCTTTGAGTTTATGAGGCTGCACTCATATTTTGGCTTATTTGAAGTACCTGTGAGACTCTCCTCTAGTTCTAGGATGAAATTCTCATGTTTTTTTTAAGGATACATCATGCAATTTGCCTCAAGTGCATCAATGGTACATTGAGCCTCTTCAGCCAGGGAAAATCAGCCTTTCATTAGAGATTTATGAGCTCAGCAACCATCAGATCTTCTGCAGTTTAGTGGGGCAGATTGGTCAAATAAGTATTTTTCTGGAGCTACTCTTTATCAAAAATATTGGGAAATATTTATGGAAAATGCTCAAACCCTGGACAGCTTTGCTCCATTCATTTCTAATAAARGCAATGCTTGCACAATATACAGAAATAATGACAGCACAGTTACAATGGTGGCCCTATTTCACAATTACCTGCTTGGGATGGACCTTTCCTGAAAATTCATGTAATTCTTCCTGAAGTAAGTTTTACTTTTTATTTTCAATTGCAAGAACAGGATTGAAATTCAGTCCAGACATTTTGTCATTTAAAGTCTCTGTGTTCACCATGGGGCCAGGGATGAATTTAGCAGGAGGAGCATCACCTTCCGAAGAGGCTTGAATAGAAATATAAAATATTTAGGATTTCCTAAATGGTTTTTTTCCAAGGTTTCCCAAGGTGTTGGCTAAAAGAACTGTCTGTGACAGGATTTGGAGTGGAGGAGCCTCTGGCCTCTCCTCAACTTGTGAGGGTTAATAAGACAGGAGAGGAGTTCTCTAACATTTTTCCCCCTGTTTTATTTTTTTTTTTTTTGGGTGCAAATAAATTCATTTTGATGGCTAAAAATTTGAAATAATTGTTAGGAATGATTAAGGGGTGGGGTGGTAGTAACCACTTTCCAGTTAGATGAGATCAAAGACACGGTTTGAAGAAAAAGCCACATTTTTATGGATTGATTGTGGCTTTTTGGAGGCCAATAAAATCTGTGAGCAACAGGAGAAGGCAGGAAACTTCAAAGAAAATTCTACGAAGTCTTTGAAAGGAAATTCAGGAGAAAACARTGGAGCCATGTCTAAAAAAACAAAACTATTCCAAGTAACTTAAAATCTCTGTGTCTGCCAGATACCATCAGCATAATTCCTGTGTCCTGAAYTCTGCGAGTCCTGGTGAAAATCATTTCAGGAATGTCAGGATTGATTGTCTGGAGCATGAATAAATGTAAACCACACCTTGGTATGGCCCTGCCTGGGTTTGTTAGTGCAGAGCTCAGGGGTTGTGAGGGTGGTGCTGCCAAAATTCCGTGTTTTTCCAGCCTCAGAGTATTCCAGTCCCAAAGTGGATGGACAGGGATCAGTGAGGGATTTGGGGTGGGCTCTGGGATGATCCAGGAGTGTCCCAGCCCCAAGATGGGTGCACAAGGATCAGTGATTTAGGGTGGCTCTGGGATGATCCAGCCCTGAGATGGGTGCACAAGAATTAGTGAGGGATTTAGGGTGACTCTGGGATGATGCAGGAGTGTCCCAGTCCTGGGGTGGATGGACAGGGATCAGTGAGGGATTTGGGGTGGGCTCAGGGTATCCCAGTCCTGAGGCAGATGGACAGGGATCAGTGAATGATTTAGGGTGGGCTCTGGGATGATCCAGGAGTGTCCCAGTCCTGAGATGGGTGCACAAGGATCAGTGATTTAGGGTGGCTCTGGGATGATCCAGGAGTGTCCCAGTCCCAAGGTGGATGGACAAGGAACATTGAGGGATGGGGAAGGGGCTCAGAGTACCCCAGCCCCAAGGTGGGTGCACAAGGATCAGTGAGGGATTTGAGGTGGCTCTGGGATGATCCAGGAATATCCCAGTCCCAAGGAGGGTGCACAAGGATTAGTGAGGGATTTGGGGTGGGCTTTGGGATGATCCAGGAGTGTCCCAGTCCTGAGATGGGTGCACAAGGATCAGTGAGGGATTTAGGGTGGCTCTGGGACAATCCAGGAATGGTTTCCCTGCAGTCCCAGCTGTGCTTTGCAGGAGCTCTTCCATCATCCCTAACTCCCCTCAGTCTCTGTCCTTTTCCTCTCTGAGTAGAGCAGGGTTGGGAATGGAGATGGTGAATCATTCCCAGCTCCCCTGGGCTCTGCTCTTGGATAAATGGCCCYGAGAACAAAGGGACCAAACCCAACAAAGACCACAGCAGATCCCGGCCTTCCCTCTGCTCTGACACAGAGATTTCTCCCTGCCTCAACCTGAGTRTTCCAGTGACTCGTGCCAGCTATAAAACCCTCCTAAAAATGCACAGAAAGGCTCTTCCTCTATGAATTCCCATTTCTTGCTCTGAATTAGTCAAACAAAACCCTTACTGGACAGAAATGATTCCCAAATCGCTTCAGAACAATTCAAAACAGCAGTTTGGGTTTTTTTTCTGGGTAGGGATGAAAAGTCCCAAGCAGGAAAGAATCCAAGGTGATTGAACTGTCAGGGTTTGTCTTGGCTTTGCTGCTGTGAGAAATTTGGCCACAAATGATTTGCACTRTTGAATTCCCAACTTTAGGGAGGCCTTTGTCACTGGATACCTGCAGAATTCATAAATGTGGSTCTCTGCAAGAGCCTGAGGAGTAGAGATGAGAATGAAGGATCTTTTGGGAACTGCTGRTTMCAAAGATTRAGATGGGATATTGGGAAGGAATTCCTGGCTGGGAGGGTGGGCAGAGAAGCTGTGGCTGCCCCTGGATCCCTGGCAGTGCCCAARGATGGAGCTTGGAGCAATCTGGGACAATGGACAATGTCCCTGTCCATTGGATTGGAATGGRATGAGATTTAAGGTCCCTCCCAACCCAAATCATTCCATGATTATTACCTGTAATGCTTAATTGTAGCAGGAACTGAACGGAGCCTTTCATTGTTTTGGTTTTATTATAATAATAAGAATATTTTATTAATATAATAGGAATTAATAATCCTCCTCTTTTGGGGTGGCAGGRAGCTGCCAGTCAGTCCAGGRGAAGGGAAAATCACACRGYGTGCCTAAAAAGGATCCAGRAATGCTTTAATGGAATYGTGTTCATTACTTGGAAACCATTTMAAAATGGAGAGGCGGCAAAGTTAGAGAAATGAGTTACAATGATTACATTTTTTTCCGTTAACACATTTTATTTTGTGATAAAGAAGCTGTGTGCAAACGGACAAACAGAGAAGAAAACACGGGATTATTTTATTCCCCGGTTTGTTTTTCCCCCCTGCAGATCAGAGCCATCCCCGGGATCCACGAGCTCTCTGCGGGGGACCGTGAGAGCTGCTCAGTGTCACTGCAAGGACCGGGCTACCTGCGAGTGCCTGGTGGCCACCCCGAGCCTGGGSCACACCTACGTGCTGTGGCTGCAGCTGGTGGCCACTGGCACCGCGCTGAGCTCGCCGCCGCTGGCGCTGCATCCCGCTGCCCTCGGTAAGGCTGGTGCTCACGGCAGGAGGGCACAGACAGGGCAGGAAAAGCTCCCTAATCCCCGTCTGGGCTGCGGTGCAAACCGCGCTGAGCACAGCCCGGGCGGCCAGGACTCGATATTTTAGCCAGGAACTTGTTATTGGTACTTCTTTTCCATCAGAACCTCTGTGTGCCCTCTCTGTGCCCTCTCTGTGCCCTCTCTGTGCCCTCTCCGTGCCCTCTCTGTGCCTCTCTGATGCTCACCAAGACTGAAATTAAAATTGAAACCTGAGAAGAGAAAACAAATCTGTTCCAAAAGTTGCTTGGCAAATAATCCCACCCATTCTCCCAAGCAGCTCTGTGATCCTGATGTTTCCTTCCTCACCCATGCAACCCCAGCGTTTTCCAAGTTGGAAAATGTTTSTCTCTGATCAAGCTAAAACTCTCCTGACAGGATGAATTTGAGATGTGTTGCTATTCAGCATGGTCAGTTATTACAGATTTGGGSAGATTTCATAAAGGCAGGAACTGTCAGCTGCAGGGGAAAAAAATTAAAGTTTTATGAGCATCTTATTAGCTTAAAAAGTTAGGAATTTTATAAACTTCCTCCTAACTGGCGTGCTCTGCAGACAGAACCAGTTAAAATCTCAGGGTGGGCTTGTTTGGAAGATGGGAGGTGGCATTTTTCATCCTGCTGGTTTGAAATGATGCTACAGGAAGAAATTAAAAATTCAGGTTGGACTCTGCCACKATTTAAAAATGACATGAGTTAGTTCTATCAGTGAAATATGCTTTAAAAATGCATAACATTAATATATGTTCAAGACTGAGCTCAATTAAAGCTCATTTGAATGCAAAACTCTGAATGCTTGTGTCACATGAATTTTATTTGCTTACAGTGGAGCAGGTGGCATCACAACCATCATTGTCTGTGTTCAGAAAATGGGATCTGATTCAGGAATTGTGATGGAAAAKCCACTGACTTTTATTTGCCTCATCCCAAATCATTCCCTGCTGGGCTTCATTAAGTTAATTGCTTTGAGATAGGCTATAAGTAGAAATTAAATAAAATCTGACTTGGTGGGGTGAATTTATGCTGAAAATAAAAAGAGATTTTTGGTATAACTGAGTGAAATTCCAATAATGAGACTTAAATGAGACAATTGGAGAGCTGGACAGCAGTGCAGATGGAATTTGAAGGGAACATTTGCCTGCTGCCCAAGATCTTTGGGAATATTTTCCCTTCAGCTTTTGCACGTGCTGCAAAAATTCCTGCAGTGGTTTGGAACAAGATTTTACTTTTCCACGGGAAAAGCTTGGCTGTGAATGAGGACAAGGCCAGCCAAGATCTCAGTAAGAGGTGAAAGGGATTTGATTTCTTGTGTTTGTCCAAGGAATGAATCCTAAGGATCATTCCCAACTGCCCATCCATTTCCCACCCCGTTCCCTTCCTCCTTGTGGGAATACCCAAACTCTCCATTTTTACTTTGCCCTAACATAACTCTCCTGGAGACCTTCCAGATCCATAATCACTGTGAGAGGATGGGAATATTTAGGAAATTCTAGAGTACAATCTGAGGAAATTTCAAGTAGCAAATTGATTTTATTACCATTTCCATCCTTCTCTTCCTCATTCCCTCTTTTCAGCAAGGCAGGTAAGCCAGGGCTTGGTTACTGGGAAGAGTTGTGGCCTATGGGAAGAAATTTAAGGGAATTGGGAGGTCAGACAGCATTTCCTGATAACTGTGACAATGCCAGGGTGGCTTTTACAGGGATACTTCACAGCATCCCTGCCATACAATAGGGCAGCCCTTGAAAAGTGAGTTGAAGAGAAAGTTTGTTACTGATTTTGGGAATTGGGGCTCAGCTGGCAATTGTTGTGTCTGCAGTGAAGCCCGAAGCTCCTGAGAAGCTGCAGCTGGAGCTGAATGAGCGGGGCCAGCTGAAGCTGTGCTGGTCCAACCCGGTGCCGCTGCCGTTCCC